ATACCCGAGAGGCAAAAAAAGCCACTTTAAACTTGGCTTCCAGTGGGTTCCCACAGGCTGGGATGTAGCATCTCCTTCCTAGCGTCCTGTTTTCAGCTCGTAGCAGCCTCGTTGCCACCTCAGAACAGACAAATCATGAACGAGCTGGACTCTTGCAAGAATATGCACGCGATGAGTAGATGCAGAAACAGGTTCAGAGAGCAAGCTTTCAAGGTGGACGGTGGCCTTGTGGGACCTGGGTAACGTACCCTGGGCCAGAGGAGGCGGGCACGTCTGGCTCCCGAGTCAGGCGAGGCACTTAGCAGTGAACCTTAACGCCGGGCTCTCATCACCCTGCCGAGGTGCCGCCGTGGCCCTGGGCTGGTGGCAACTGCAGTCCTCCATCTGGGGCAGGGCGGCAGGCGGGGAGCTGGCAGAGGAAGATCCCTTTGTGCTGGGCAGCTCTCTACCCAGGGCCCTGGGAACTCTGCTCTCTGTAACACGAAGGGCCACAGAGCCCGGTTTTCATGGCAAAGCTCTGTCCCAGAGCTCCTTTAACATCTGTTAATTAAGTGCAATAAATTTTTTTAGAAAATGGCAAAGATGACTTCCAGGTGGATATTGCTCTCTTACGGTGTTGGGGATGCCAGAACACCACTTGGTTTTATTTTTCTAAGTGCATGTGATGTGATAGAGTGTGTGGGGGCTCCGTGTCCTCCCCTGGGAGCTGGCATTCCAGCGGGCCCCTCTCTTTTAACTTTGTAGGGGGAAGGAGGCAAAGGAAAAAAATCCCTTCTTCCCAGCCAGAGAGGGCAGAAGCAGACCGTTGCCCATTGGCCTTATGTGCGTGTGTGTGTGCGAGTGTGTCACTGCTGGTGGGCCGGGGTGATGTGGGGAGGGAAGCCGGGAATGTATCCTTTTCAAAGCAAAATTAAATATTTTGAGATGAGAATTCTGGGACTGTCTCTTCTGTCCTCCCACCTCCTCCCGTATTTCAGAACCTTTTCACACATCAGCCCAAGAGCCTGAGTCAAGCCAGAAAACATTTCTCGTAGAATCCATCCCAGAGTCCCTGCACAGTGGCACAGGTGCCACTCTACAATGCCAGAGCCACAAAGAAGACCAGAGTTCAGATCCCGGGTCAGCCTGAAACACACTGCACAGGCACGCCAGTGACCCTGGCCAGCCGGAGGGCAGGGTAAAGGCAGTGAGACCCTGTCGGAGGTGCCTGCTTCTGTCTTTCAATAAAATATTTAATCTTGAGAATCCACCCCAGGCAGCCCCTTCATCCCCAACCAGATGTTCTCAGCCAGGTCGTGCCTCAGTTTCAGGGAGCCCTTTGTATTCACAAAGGGAATGTTTCTTGGCAACTATGTTTAAAAAAAAAAAAAAAGAGGGCCAAATGGTTAAGGCTGCTGGGTCCCATATGGCTGTACAGTTCAAGTTTCCGGACCTGGCTGGCGGCTTTAAAAACATTGAGTGCCGGGAACCAGCAGTTAGCGTAATGGCTATGTCGCTGGACTCCCACGTAGTCGACCGCGGTTTGTGTCCTGGACCCAGTCATGCCCAAGATCCTGAGAGGAGAATGGAGGAGAAGGGATTGCGGCGTGACCATCCCCCCTGGGGTGATTTCTCACTTTCTGTCTCTATGTCTCTCTCTGTCTGGCGAGCGCACGCACCCTATAGCAAAAACCTCTCCAAAAAAAGAAAAAGAAAAAAAATAAAAACCTTGAGTGCCTAGGGACCAGCAGTTGGCGTAATGGCTATGTTTCTGGACTCCCATGTAGTCGACTGCGGTTTGAGTCCTGGACCCGGTGGCTTAAACTCACATCAGGCCCGTGTGCATGCGTGCCCAAGATCCTGAGAGGAGAATGGAGGAGAAGGGATTGTGGTGTGGCCATCTCCCCAAGGGGTGATTTGTCGCTTTCTGTCTTTCTGTCTCTCTCTGTCTATCTGGTGAGCGCACGTGCCCTATAGCAAAAAACCTCTCCAAATAAATAAATAAATAAATAGAAAAGAAAAAAGAAAACTTGTTCCACAAGTATTTATTAGATGTCTAGTTCATGTCCCCTCCCCCGCCTCCCACCCTGTCTGCTAGGAAGGGCACAGAAATGAATAGCAGTTGTGGTAAGTGGCGTGACTGAGACTCATTCCTGTTACAGGGTCAGGTAAGACCTCTCTAGAGACAGTATTTGAGCTGAGCCCAGGAGGGGGAATGAGTGACTTCTCCCCATGGTTCACATCCGGGTCAGTCAGAGCTGAGAGTCCTGCAGGCCTTCTGAGCCGGATCCACACACCTCTGTTCCCTGCTGAAGCATCCCGCCCTGCTGGCCAAAGGACCGAGGCACAAGGAAAGTGGGTGGAGGGTTCAGGATGGGTAGACCCTTGACTGCCCAGACACTTGTCCTTGATGCTGGAATGGGGACCGCAAGGAGGCAGGTGAGGGGGACACAACTTAAAGTGAAACCTTTGACCCCAGGGTCAGCGCTTTAGGCAAAGGCCTGGCCCACCCCAAGCCAGTACCTGTGACCTACTGCCCAGCCCTGGCCTAGTTGATTAGTCTAGCCTGAGTGTGAAACCAGCTGGGCCGTGAGCTTAGACCTGTCGGCCCCAGGTCCGTAGTTCTGTGATGGCCTGTTCTAGCCCGCCGCTTTGCGCTGCATGCAGACGTGCTCACTCCGGATAGCTGCGCAGCCATGGAAGGAAGTGCGGGCTGGGAGCTTGGCCTGTGTTGCCTCTGCCAAGCGCATGTCAGGTGAGGACACTGGCTTAAGTGTTAGTCATAGGTTCAAACCCTGCCTCCCTCAGCGACTTGGGCAAGTTACCGCCTCTCCCTGGGTACTGCACAATGGGACGCCATCCTCCTGGGCTGTGGTGAGCTGGTACGTGAGCTTCTGGTACAGAGGCCCCGAGCGCGGCAACTGCGGCAGTCACCTCCCGTCCTAGACCGTCGGCACCGCGACCACAGACAGGTGTCTCTTGGGTAGGTGGGATGCAGTGAGGGTCAGACCAGGTGCGTGGCCCTGGGCAAGGACCCCACTTCCCTGAGCTCTCCCCTCTGCAGTGAGGGCGTGCTACACGGATAACGTGAGTCCCTGCCCCCCACGCCCTCCAGCTCCCTGGAGGACAGATTTCCAAAGCAGCCACGTGTTCCCTCCTTGCCTGCCCCCTTCATACACCCCAGCAGTGCCAGGCGGTCCAGCTGGCAGCCTCTGACGTCAGCAGCTAATCCGGGAAAGCTGCCAGCCAGAGATAGGGGTGAGCAACCGAGGAACCCGACGCAGGTTCAGGTGGGTGCCCTGGCCCCAGGCGGCCCTCCCTGACTCCCTGAGCCCTCATCAGCTCCTCACTTGCGTAAGTCCTCCTGACCCAGCAGGCTGGGTCAGGATTAAGGAAGGGACGCCCAAGCCTTTCCTTCAAAGCTGCATCGGTCAGCGGGAGCTGGGGGAGCTCGGAGAGCTGCTTGGCCTCGCCCAGGCTTCTGTGAACTGGGTCGGCTCTCCCACTGCACTCTGGATTCCACGCTGACCCCAGGGCCCCAGACCTGGGGGGAGGAAGGGAACGGAAGGGCCACTGGTGTTGCCTCCAGCTCGCCCTCTTAGGACGCCAGGCTGTTTCCGTTCACACTGTCCTTACGTTGTCCCTGGGGTGGGCATCTTTGTTTCCAGAGGGAGAAATCCAGGCTCAGGGAGGTCTTAGGTGACGTCCCCAAGGGCTCCGACTCAGCAGCAGCGCGGAGGGTCGGACCCAGCCCTGGGGCTCAGGGTCCTGGCTCTCGTGCCTGTCTCCATCATGTCCTCGCCAGGACACTGATGCTGCCCGGGCCTCTCCACCCGGGAGGACACCCCACCCCACCTCCCTCGGGCCGGAGGTCAGCCAGCCAAGGCAGCCAGAACCAGGGTCTGGTCTGACACCTTCCGGCGGGCTGCCCACACCACCTCACCTGGAAGCAACCAGGCCCAGACCTGGCCACCCGTGGAGGAGAGGAGAACACTGACGTTTGTCCTGCATGCTCGGCCAGGACCTTCACTTGGCAAATGGAAAACGGAGGTTCAGAGGCAC